TTTCAGTTTCTCACACTTCTTGCAGTTATAAGGTTCCGCCTGTGTGTGTTCTATGGTGCATCACGAGATCACTTTTGTGTGAGAATTTCTTGGCACAAATCTTGCAGGTAAATGGTTTTTCACCGGTATGAACTCTAATATGAGTAATTAAATTCTGCTTCTGAGAAAATTTTTCATGACATACCTCACAGCAAAAAGGTTTTTCCCCTGTATGCAGTTTCATGTGTCTTATCATATTCCACTTCTGAGTAAATTTCTTATTGCAAATTTTGCAACCATAAGACCTGACTCCATAATGCATCTGCATGTGTCTTTCTAAATTGCCGTTTTTGGAAAATCTCATACCACATATTTTGCACACATAGGGTTCATCAATTACAGGTGGCTTAACATACTTCACAAATGGATACCTTTTACACTTGTTTAATGAATCTCCATTTATGTCAGATATACAAAAGCTATGTGTTTTGTCTTTGTTTCCTTCTTCTGGTAAATCACACTCCTCTTTAATAAACCATGCATATTCCTGTTCTATGTGTAGGCCACTTTTTTCATTACATTGTAAGGGATCTTCTTCTTTAATGACTGTGTTATCTGTCATTCTGCTTGTGTGAGACTGAACTCTTCCCTTCCAAAGCAGGAATATCTTTTTGGCAAATCATCTATACTGCATCTGAAATGAAAAACGGTACTCAGTGGTATCACTACACATATGTGATAATAATTCTTCACAATCACAATAGTAAAATATAAGTTATTACAATAAAGTCACCAAAATATTTAAGTCATCTCTACTTCACCTGAAATTAATATTTGTATTAGGTATTATCACAAATATATTTGTTCACTCTCAATAATCAGAAAATACATTTCATTACAACTAAGTTATCAAACTACTTAACAACCTGATATGTTTAACAAGTGACAATACCATAGCAGCCTTTACTTGATAGCAATATGGCTTACCCTTCTCAAAAGAACAGGGACTACCTCCCATGACAAAATCTGTGGAATTACTGCAAGGAAGAAGAAAATGTAACAATTAGCATTGCTGTCCCTGTTATGAGTACTACTATCACTATTTTCATTGCTCTTATCTATATAATAATAGCAATAATAATAATAATGATGATAATAATAAATTTATCATTATTGATATTAATTTTATCATCATAATTATCATTATCATCATTTTTGTCATGATCATTATTATCATAATTATTATTATCATCATTATTATCAATCATTATTATAGTTATTATAATTATCATCTTTAAAAATTTTGTTGATACCTTTATAAATTTTGTTGATACTTTATCAGGCCTCTTGAAATATTTGTTCTCTGGCAATTTTGCTACACCCTTTTTTATGTTAGCTCACCAGGTAATATGTCAAAAAGATAAATTGTGTCTATGTGTCTTTAGTTATATATTGTCATTCCAAGTTATCAAGTAGCATAGCTTATCACATTCAAAAGATGGACTTAATACCCTTGTATTAACACACTGGATCTTGGTGCCTCGGGGCTCAGACATGGATCAAAATACGGGCATATGGCTTCCTTGACTCGTCTCCTCTTTGCAATACCATTTGCCCCTTTTCTGCACATACATCTTTGCTGCTTTGCTCTTTTCTGAGGCCTATATTTGTCATTAGTGATGCTGTGTCATGATTGCAACAAAACATTTTTGTAGAGCACATTCTACATTATATTTCCAGGTAGTTTAGACCATGCAATACAAGTAACTGTATTTGTATTATTTTTTTCCTTTCTGTCTTTCTTTTGTACTATTAATTTTTTTGGACCAAAAATTTTCTGATGCTAAACCAACACAGAACTACTTTTCCTTGATCATACTTCATACAATCTCTTTTAGGAAGTATATACTTTGTACAAAACACACATCGTGCTCTTGTGGGGAGTAACACCACACTTCGCATATTGCAAATATACAACGAAATCATGACAAGATGACCCCTTTATCCTACCCTCAGCAACAATTTCTTTAATATGACTATTGCCGTCACCTGTTTGTTGCACTGAGGTTTCCCATCATCCACCCCTGAGGCCCATTTTATTGATAAAACATTCCTGTAATATGAATCCCAATGGGTTAAAGTCACCTGTCACCTGTCAATTAATAAATATTCTGCTGTCTTTTTTTTTCTTATTTAATTTTTTGTGTTCTTTACATACTTGCTGAATACTTTTGTCTAGAAATTCCTCTGCATAAACCCGAGCCTATTGAACTATAATAATTCCTTCTTTCTCTATAATACAGATCTTATTCTCAGTATACTTTACTTCCTGTGAACACTGACGATATAAGAATTATAATATAAATACATATTAAAATAACTTTTATGTCATTAGAAAGACATTACAATAATAAAAAATACTTATTTTCACTATAATGCTGTAATTTCATTCACAATTAATCATTACATCGCCCTTATTCTGACAGTTGTTCTCATTTACCTATCGTCATTAGTAAAATTT